GATGGTACTCATTTTATTGACCTTGGAAAGATGAAGGGCTGAGTTGACACTGCCAGATTTGAACCTGTGACCTTGCATTTTTTTGAACAGGCTTTGTAGTCAGGGAATTTACCAACTATCTAATTTATATTTATATTGTATCAATGAAAAACAATCTATATGGATGTTGCTCTGTTGCCTTGTTGTAATTTTGTATAGCTCAATTTAATATTTTGGATTAGCTTTTCATATAATTTAAGATTTCTGGATAAACTTTTAAAATTAGTTAATATTATTAAAACATATTTTATTATTATTTTTTGATATATTGATTTTTATAACAAATTAAATATTTTATATTTTAATATTTTGGAAACATACTTTTTTAAAGTGTTTCCAAAACTATTACATTATTTGAAAAGCTTATCCAGAAAATGTAAATTGAGGCCTACACTGATCAGTTACAACATTAAAACCATCTGCTTAATGTTGTGTAGGTACCCAATGTGCTGCTGGAACAGCTCTTATTCATTGAGACATGGACTCCACGAGACATCTGGACATGTCCTGTGGAATCCATGCAGCAGATCATTTAAGTCCTGCAAATTGCGAGTGGGGGCCTCCATTGATCAAATTCCATGGATATTTTTCCAACCTACATATATTTCTTCTTGTATTACCTAAACCATAATCTATGCAGAATTGCTAATTTGTATAACATGATTTATAGTCAGTCTTACCCTATTATTTGTATGCCAGTATGTGGGCAACAATTATTTCTGTACAATTGTGGCATCTAGATACTTTTATCACACATGCCACTCTGGCCCATGGAGCTTTTCAAACATTTAAATTTGCTGATATATGGATATCTCCATAATTCCAACAAACCAAACAAAATATAATTTTCTTCATGTTGATTTCTTACTTCTTTTCATGCCATATAAAAGGATCGCTGGTCTCAGGTTATGTTATTTCTAATTAATTCTTTTACTCTGGAGATGTTGCATTATATTATCTTTACATATTGTGATGGAGCTCCTGTACTCTGACCGAGTACCTCTGCCCAGCTCGCTTCCTAATCACTTGCCAGGACCCTGAAACAATTAAACCCTAATCGCCAAGACATGACAGGAGTGTCTCTGGAGCTTTTCCACCTGACCAAGCTGCAGCTCTCCTTCTAGGCAGGTATCGTCCCCTTTGCCTATTTCTCTGCAACTCTTCTTCCAGGAAGTATCGTCCCCTCCACCTATTTCTCTGAAGCTTTGGTTCTAGGCAATTATGCATATCTACCTACAGTGTGATAGCTCTTGTTTTTATAAAGACAGCTGCAGCTCTCAGACTTGGCTCTCTTTAAGTTGCCCAGGGCTAGAGGGATCATGCAGCCAGCCAACGGCACTACAACTCTGTTACTGGGATCCCTAAAAATCCACACAGTTTCTTTTTGAACTGTCAGTCCTCTTTATTTTTTCTTAGGACTAGCCCATAGGCTCATAGGCTCATAGGCTCATAGGCTCATGACTTATGATGACAACTCAATAAAAATACAAACAATCAAATCACATTAGACAACATACAGGAACTTATAATAACATAATGACATATTAATAAAGGGGTGGGGAAGAC